GAGCGGGAAAATTGAGACTTTGGGGTGGGAAAAGTGGGAAAATGGAGCATTTCAGGCTGGAAGAGTGGGAAAATAGAGGGGTTGGGGCGGGAAGAGCAGGAAAACAGAGCGTTTGGGGCAGGAAAAGTGGGAAAACGGAGCTGTCAGGGTGGGAAAAATGGGAAAACAGAGCGTGTGGGGCGGGGAGAGCGGGAAAATGGAGGAGTTGGGGCGGGAAAACGGAGCATTGAGGTGGGAAGAGCAGGAAAAACAAGATCGGAACGGAAAGAGCGGGAAAACCGAGGGGTTGGGGTGAGAAGAGCAGGAAAAGGGAGCATTTTAAGTCAGGAAATGTGGGGAAAACGGTTTTAAAACAGGGAAATTGAGAAAAAATAGGATTTTAGACAGAAAAGAGCGGGAAACTGGCTTAAAAACGTGGGAAATGGAGGGGTTTAGGCCAGGAAAGGGGAAAAAATGGAGAGTTTGAGGCTGGGAAAGGAGGGAAAATGCAGGATTTTGGAGCGAAGGAAGGGGGAAACTGAGGGTTTGGTGCTGGGATAGGAAAAGGGAGAGTTTATGCCAAAAAAAAAAAACAAAAAAAACAGGGTGTTTTAAGCCAAAAATAGTGGAAAATGAAGGATTTTAGGCTGAGAGGAGAAAAAAAGGAAGGTTTAGAGCAACAGTGAAAAAACTGAGGATTTTAAGCGAAAAAGGGGGAAAAATGGAACACTTTAGGTGAGAAAAGGGCAAAAACAAATGATTTTAGGTGAGAAAGGAAAAGAATGGACAGTTTTAGGCAAGAAAGAAGGAAAAACAGGTTTTTAGGGGAAAAAATAGAGAGTTTTAGGCAAGAAAGGGGAAAAAAAAGGAGGGTTTTAGGTGACAAAGGGGAAAAACGAGTGATGTTAAGTGAGAGGAAAAAAAATGGATGGTTTTAGGCGAGAAAGGGGGAAAATGGTGAGTTTTAGGGAAAAAAAATGGAAAGTTTTACACAGAAAAGGGGGGAAAATTGAGAGTTTTGGGCAAGAAAGGGGAAAAAGGAAGAGTTTTAGATTGAGAAAAGAGGAAAAAGAGAGGGTTTTACGGAAAAAATGGAGAGTTTTAGACAAGAAAGAAAAAAATTGAGTATTTTAGGCATGCAAGAAGGAAAACGGGAGGATTTGAGGCCAGAAAGGGGGAAAAAGGGAGGATTTGACGTGAGAAAGGAAGAAAAACGGAGCATTTTAGGCAAGAAAGGAGAAAAACGGAGAGTTTGGGGTGAGAAAGGGGGAAAAAAATCAGGGTTTTAGGCTAAGAAGGGGGAAAAAATTGAGTGTTTTAGGCAAAAAAGAGGAAAAATGGAGGATTTTAGGTGAGAAAGCAAAGGAAAATAAATGATTTTAGGCAAAAAAGAAAAAAAGGAGGGTTTTAGGTGATAAAAGGGGAAAAACAAGCAATTTTAGGTGAGAAAGGGGGAAAAATGGAGGATTTTGGGGAAAAAATGGAGGATTTTAGCTGAGAAAGGATAAAAAAGAGGAGAATTTTAGATGAAAAAGGGGAAAAAGGGAGGGTTTTAGGTGAGAAAGGGGGAAAAATGGAGCGTTTTAGGGGGAAAAACGGAGGGTTTTGGGGGAAAATGGAGCGTTCTGGGGGGAAAAACGGAGCGTTCTGGAAGGAAAAATGGAGCGTTTTAGGCGAAAAAGTGGAAAAAACGGAAAATTTTAGGCAAGAAAGGCAGAAAAATGGAAGGTTTTAGGTGAGGAAGGGGGAAAATAAAAGTTTTAGGCAAGAAAGGGAGAAAAATGGAAGGTTTTAGGTGAGGAAGGGGGAAAATAAAAGTTTTAGGCAAGAAAGGGAGAAAAATGGAAGGTTTTAGGTGAGGAAGGGGGAAAATAAAAGTTTTAGGCAAGAAAGGGAGAAAAATGGAAGGTTTTAGGTGAGGAAGGGGGAAAATAAAAGTTTTAGGCAAGAAAAGGAGAAAAATGGAAAGTTTTAGGTGAGAAAGGGGGAAAATAGAGAGTTTTAGGCAAGAAGGGAGGAAAAAGGGAGGGTTTTAGGCAAGAAAGGGAGAGAAATTTTCCCCGATTTTCTGGGATTTTTCCCCGATTTTCTTGGATTTTCCCCAATTTTCCCGGCATTTTCCCCGATTTTCTGGGACTTCCCCCAATTTTTCCACGATTTTCCTAGCATTTTCCCCAATTTTCCATGATTTTTCCCAAATTTTCTTGGATTTTCCCCAATTTTCCCAGCATTTTCCCCGATTTTCTGGGATTTCCCCCGATTTTTCCATGATTTTCCCCGATTTTCCCAGCATTTTCCCCAATTTTCTGGGATTTTCCCTGATTTTCCCAGCATTTTCCCCCATTTTCTGCAATTTCCCCCAATTTTCCCAGCATTTTCCCCCATTTTCTGCAATTTCCCCCAATTTTCCCAGATTTGTCCAGGATTTTCCCAGATTTTTCCAGCATTTTCCCCAACTTTCTCTGATATTCCAGGATTTTCCCCAATTTTCCCAGCTCTTTCCAGGATTTTCCTGTATTTTCCAGGATTTTCCCCATTTTCCCCATATTTTCTGGGATTTTCCAGGATTTTCCTAGATTTTTCCAGTATTTTCCCAGGATTTTCTGGGATTTTTGCAGATTTTTCCCACATTTTTCTGGGATTTTCCCCAATTTTCTGGGATTTTCCCCAGCTTTTCCAGGATTTTCCCAGATTTTCCCATACTTTCCCTGATTTTCTGGGATTTTCCCCACTTTTTCCAGGATTTTCCCATATTTTCCTAGATTTTTCCAAATTTCTCTGGGATTTTCCCCACTTTTTCCAGGATTTTCCCATATTTTCCCAGATTTTTCCAGATTTCTCTGGGATTTTCCCCACTTTTTCCAGGATTTTCCCATATTTTCCTAGATTTTTCCAAATTTCTCTGGGATTTTCCCCACTTTTTCCAGGATTTTCCCATATTTTCCCAGATTTTTCCAGATTTCTCTGGGATTTTCCCCACTTTTTCCAGGATTTTCCCATATTTTCCTAGATTTTTCCAAATTTCTCTGGGATTTTCCCCACTTTTTCCAGGATTTTCCCATATTTTCCCAGATTTTTCCAGATTTCTCTGGGATTTTCCCCACTTTTTCCAGG